TTTTTACTGTCTTATAATTGCAGACACAATTGCAGTCTTCAGTTTAGATGATGTTTTTTCCTAACCCAGGTCAGTGCTCTATTAAAAGAAGCATTGGGGAAGTGTTAAAGACCCACAGTAATTTAGTGGACTGTTCTTTAATCCTGCAAAATATATCCTGGGTTTAGAATGAGTCTCAACCACTTTCAGCAATGAAAAAAGGAGAACTGTAATTAAACATATGTTTGTGAGTGAAATAATTTTTAGCACTATGGATGTAAAATAAATATGCTCATGGAATTGTGAATGAAGAGGAAAGGATTTTCTTTCTTGATTTTGTTAATGGAAGCTTAGATAAACCTATACTGTACTGTAAATGGTTACAATTGAATGACTTTGCAATATTACTGTAGTGAGTTAGAAAAGTCATAAAAAGATAAGTGGTTTTTTTGTTGGTCTCTGCTGAGTCCATAGAAAACTCTGATTCTTCAAACTTTCAGAAACTATGTTCCTACTCAGTACATCAGCTGTTTCTGACTATCTTGCTTCACTTGTTAACAATTTTTTTATATATAATCTGTATAAAGTACATCAAAGAAGAATGGCTTTTAGTCTTCTGTCTGTTCTGGAACTGTTTCATTTCCAGCACTCATTTTGGACAATTAACATAATACTAAAAGATGCACTGGCCCTAAATGTAATCCCTGTCTCCTGTGTCTCAGAAAGTGACTTATAAGAAGCAGCAGCAACTTGGAGGAAACTTTAGAAATAAATACAGCATATTGCTGAAAAACCTTGTTTTGGTATCAATTACTTTAGATAAGATACCAAATTGATACCAATTGATAGGAAATATTTAGATAATATAACTGATAATGTAACTGATAGTATGTTGATAATAATAAGCTTAATTATTTTGTTAAATTTCCTCTCTACTTTTTACATTATTCATTACTATGTCATTCTGCCGGAAACAACTAGAAATAAACAAACAAACCTGACTGTCAAATGGGAGTAATACTAATGATTCTAGTTATTATCTAACTTGAGAGTGGTTAAAAGTAAAAATTCAAAAGTACATGGAATAGATTCCTCTAGAATAATATGCTAGGAAGATGAGATTTTGTATTTAAAATTCCCTTCTCGTGCCATCCACTGAAACAAACTTGCTGTCCCTTTACCTTACATTCTAATGTACAAACTTTTTCACAGGTCTAATTTTTTTTATTATTACCACCTATTACTGCTTGCAAGGATAAACTTTCTGGTCTATCCTAAGTTTCTTGAAATAAAAGTGTAGCATTTATATCACACGCAGAAATGTAAAAGGTGTTGTGGTTTTTTTTTTTTTTCCCTTTATAATGTTGGACTATTGTAAAAAGGAATGTTTGAATTCTGGGCAGAAGAAGTTGGGAGGAAACAAGGCAGAGGCCTCCTATTTTCCCCAACCAAGAAGTGTATTTTTTTGATATTATCATGATATTTGCAGGTGAAAGCAGCAGAGCTGACAGTGCTGATGAACAGCATGAGTTGAAACCAAGGAACTTGTCTCACATTTAGAAGTTCATGTTCAAGAATATGTGCAGGTCTGCAATCTTTTTTATGGGAAAGAAGGCTTTTAGGAGTGAGAGGTTTGGGTAAGGATCCAAAGCTAAAAACTTAGAGCTATAATTTGTGATACATTTGACACATTATGAGATTTAATTATTGCTTTTAGAGCTTTGTGAGGACGAAACATGCTTTGTAAGCATTAAGTGTAGTACTTCTGTCTTTTATGCTGAAACACAGTCTACAAAATAATATGTTTTAATGGTATCATATTACAATTGTGCAGTAGCATAATTAATAATTTTCTGATTCCTTGATAATATTGGAAATTTTGTATGAATGTCCACACATAAAATCTACCCTTTGACTTTTAAAAATTGCTTTAATGGATTTTTCTAGCCATTACTTACATGTCATGGGAGATATTATCTCTAGATTGGTGGAGACATCCTCCATTTTTTTCTCTTTGATTATAGACAACCATGAGTTATACAGACCACACATTTCTGCAAGTGACACGCTAGTAGGAAATGAAATACAATAAATAAATAAATAGTGTGGGTTTATGTTAGCATAGACTAATGTATGTATGCCATCTGTAGTATTTCTAATAGGAGTGAAATCTTCAGATTTTTCTAAGTAAAATGTGAAGCTGCCTGTGCTACACAAGAGACCTCATTCTTAATGGATGATTTTTGTGATTAGTTGTTAAGATTCCTAATAATCTAATTTCAGAAGGGCCTCAGCCCAATTCTTATTCATTGCTTTCTTTGTCCACATCTTGCATGTTTCTAATGGATTCAGAAACAAGGAACAATGGTGGTTTTACTTACATAAGGAATTTTAGTCACAGCATAGCTCTTGGTCATTGAAGTTTATAAAAATACAGGATTCTTCCAATATGCAAGTAAGTTCTGCTAATAATATTTCAGAAAGAATGGAATAGACAAAGCATGTGGAGCCAAAGAAATCTGTTAGAGGGAGATTTTGTAGCCTGAGTACTTTCTGAGAAACTGAAAGAGAAGACCCAACTGAAAGATAAAACCCATTATCTAATTAAAGGAATAACATTTACATTAAATTTTAATTAATTTTGATTTCCTAAGCTAATAGTCAGAAAACTAATTTCCAGTTCTGAACAGGGATAAAAATGTGTAAATTTACCCATTACAAGACCATGTAAAAGTCTTCTAAGAGTTTAGTCAGAAGGGATTTATGTAAAACTAGTAAGGTGCCCATATTCTACCTAAATTACAAGAACAAATAAAATTATTCTTCCTAGCTAGGGACTGAGATGTGAAATTTCATTTCAATGTTTGGAGAGATGGTGTATTTTTTACTGTTTCTATAGAGTAGAAAATCTACTAATTACAGTTAGATAGAAGGTTGTGATGTAGCTAGGCAACCAGAAGAGTTGGGCATTCTTACATCTATGCCATATTGCACTTACTAGTGATAGCTTTCCAAATTTTAGATAATTCATTTTCAGTGGATAATCTCTGTCTGTCTCTACCTCTCATTCTGCCTTCCTTCATCTGTTTTTGTTAGGAAATGGAACTAATCTAAACAGCAATAGATCAGTTTTCTTGATCAACTTTTAAAAATTATCTCATCATGGACCCCAAAGAAAGGTGCACCCTGAGATAATAGTAGAAAAACTCCTTGTTATTTTTGGGTTATTTTGCCAGCTGTCTGTATGCTGGTGAGTGCCAATAAAGAGCAGTCATGTGTCATATAATGGCAGGTGCAAGTATGGTCAAGATGATGGTCAGGTTTGCCAAGAGCCGAGATATGAAGTTTTTTTTAATGAGTATTTCCTTGAAGTTCCTGAAGCAAGCCTTACAACTATGATTTTTGAAGAAAAAAATCTCTGTTTACCCACTTCCTTGTCTGTGTCTTCATCTAAATGGGGAAAATTCCATGCTACCCTAAAAGTTCTTGTGTGGAGGTGTTCAGGTTGTTCCAGGTGTGTTGGCAGTGCACAGCCTGGCTCTGTATGAAAACCATTTTAAGACAATGTTATGCATATCTGTGCATATTGTCAGTTTTGTCCTGAAGTTATTAAGTGAATTTCACAGGGTCTTAAATAGAACAAGTATTCCAGTCTATTATGCTTTCTCCTCCATTTTAATTAGGGAATTCTGGTAAAATAGCATGTTCTACTTAGAGAGAAACAGCTGGTCCAGAACAGCACAGTTTAATTAGAGTTGGATGCATTTTGAAAAAGTACTCAACCATGGAAGAGGGGTACTTGGAGAAAACATAGGATTGTGTCATCACACTGGAAATTTCTCAGAAGGAAATGAGTCATTAACCTATCCTTGTGTTTTGCACAATCATTGTTATTATTGTGGGTGAGTGTTACTGTCTGTACCTGTGGTATGAATATTTAAGTTTCATGTAATGACTGGATGCTGAATCTGTTGTGAGTAACTTAAACAGAGTAAACACAAGTATGATTTTGCATGCCTTAAATAGATAAGAGGGATTAAAATAGCACTCTGGTGATAGGGTTAAGAAAAATTCCTGAAGGTAAAAATTTATTCAGCTGGTATGCATGACAGCTATCAAGTTTTATTTCATGGCAAGCAGTCATTTGAGATTTGGCTGTGTTGGTACATAGAGTTAAGTGGGCCCCTTCACAACTTGCACCAGCAAGTTAATAATAGTCAGTGTAATAATTAGTGGTAGGTGTTCTGTAGGTGGTTATTTCTGCAGGCCTCCACAACTGTGCATCATTTACTGTAAGGTTTTTACTTTCTATATACAGTATTTTGGTTGATAGTATGTTAAATTAGGATGTTGGTGTTCTTTCTATGCAGTTGGCTAGTGTTTGCATACTCTCGTTAATAAAAATTTTCAGAGCTCAAAATTAATCTCTGTCCAACTGGGCTGTATCAGACGAATTGCTGAGAGTTTCTCTTAAAAATGAAGTCTCTTTAGAGAAGTGTCTTTTAGAAGTGTCTCTTTTAGAAGTGTCCTGAGTAGAACTGGAGTTATCCTAGGTATTGTTTTCATCAAATGTGCCCTACATACTGCCATATATATAGTTGTTAACTGAAAAATAAGAGTTAAGTAAATCTAGATACCTGGTGCAGATAACAGGAAGATATTTCACAGATCTATATAGATAAATATCTGATCATTCTAAATATCACTGTTCTCTGGTGATCAGAATTCCATACTTTTTCTGTTTTATTAAGGACTGTAAATCATTCATTTTGCAGCAATTTTAAAAACTTGAGTTGGTTTTTGTTTGTGTGCTGTGGGATTTTTTTTTTTTTTAAAGCCAGAATACCAGTACCATCTTTGGAGACAGCAGAAGCCTTTTTCTAATTTTTTTTTCCATTTCTCAATCCATTCACTGCTCACTGTGTGGTTGCTGAATTCACAGTGGTGTTTTGTGGGAAACACGGAATGATTTTTAACACTGTTTTTATTTCTCCTTTTTCTTTTTATAACTGCCTTTTCAGAATTCCCCACTGTACCAATATCTGCAGGATTTGGGACACACAGATTTTGAAGTATGTTCCTCAGTGTCACAGAAGGCAGAACAATGTGCAGCAGCAGAAAGCCAAAGGGAGCAGACTGTGCGTGCTGCCCAGAAGGTGAGCAGTTTCCTGTTGCTGAGTATTTGTCTTCTCACAAGAGAACTGCATTGCTTCACAAATAGGAGAAATCAGAACAGAGAGAAATCACTTCCTGTATTTAAAAATACAAAGGCAAAACCCCCCAGACAATGAACCTCAGCCCTTTATATCTGGAAGTTGTGGTTAATCAGTATAGTTTGGAGTGTTTCTTTGCACTTATGTAAGCTAGGGAAGCAAGAAGCTTTGATAAATAATTTTTTGAGTGTTGAAAATCATCTTATGTAGTGGATCTTATTATGTTAGCTTAGCATGATGTTCTGGGAATAGAACCTGTAATTTTCTAGAACAGAATATTTATAGTTTCCAGCACTTCCCAGGCATTCGGTTGCTAAGTATAGCTTTGTCTGTGACACAACATATTAAGAAAGAGGATTTCTGGGAAGTAGAAATGCATTAACCAATTTGAATGAGATAGTTGATGTGGATAGCTATTGCATTTCTAATAATGATTACTTCTATCACTGGTCACAAAGCAAGGCTGAATTTAAATCAGGATTTAGCTCACCATTGTCTTTATTTTGAGCTACCTTTAAAAGTATTCATGGAAATATTAGGTCTACCACTTTTGCTTTTCAAAGTTGTCAGCTGGCACTCACCATAACCCTCAAGAAATCACCTGAAAATATGTTTTCTCTTTAAAGTTAATGGCTGGTTTGTGGTATGTTTACACTGAAGGTACCTATTCTGACTTAGTGTAGGAAGACTTTGATTAAGTGTTCATTTGTTTATTTATTTATTTATTTATTGAATGTTTACATTTGTTCACTGTTAGTTTAAAAAATAGGATGACATTTCATTGGTTGATAATCTGTTGGTTACTATGAAGTAATGCATGGACTGTCAGCTAGATTATTCTGCATAGTTACTTTTGTGGCGGTCAGAAAATCAGTATGATATTGTGTTTATGTATATAATTTCCACTGAATTTTATACAAAAGTGCTGTGGGGTTAAGAACCTCAAAAGTATTAAGATATACTGCTTTTAGAAACCTCAGGTATTCTGTTTTTTTCCCCTCCCTACCCCTCAAGCATTTTACACTTAATTTTATTGTGTTGGCAGCAATTCCTCCAGTATTGTGTCAGATGTAGAAGTAATTTTTCATGGTTTGCCTTGCAACTCAAAGGGAGTGGGTGTGTGAAAATGGGCTGTCCATTTCTTACAAACACTGGGTGATGTTCACATTGTCTCATCTGTCTAGACAAGGATACATAGTAGAAATGAGGAAGAAACCTGTGTGTAATTTTTAGTGATCAATTGTCGGAGGTTCTTCCTGCTGCAATTCCAGTACCAGTTGGGAAGAGTTAACACTTCTCTTTTGTAACCTGATGTCAGAAAGTCTGTTTTTGTCATTCGATTTCTGTGTCCCATTTTGGTAGGGTGTCTCAACAGGAAAGAAATGAGGGAGAGGCAGCTGGCCACACATTTAGAAAAGTAGACTGCATTTAGGAGGATCTGAGGCTTTGTTGCAACGTTTTTATGACATACAGACAAATAATTTGCATTCCTATCCAGTAATTTCCTCAGTTTTACATAAGATTGTTACCATTTCCCTTCTCTTGGCCTTCACTGGCCTAGTCTACTGAAATGATAAAATGTCTGGAAAATAAATGGTTTCTGACTTCTGAAAATGTACCTACCCACAGTCCTAATATAAAATGATCTTCCTTGAGGCTTGATGTAACTATGATTACAGGGAGCAGATGCTGTTCCACACTGAGTGATTCCCAGTATGTATATATCACTTTCCTTCTGTTCTGAAAAGCAAGTTTCCAAATGCCTTAAACACTTTATTAAAATAAGAATGTAAAAGCTGAAGTCTTGCCTTGTCTTTGAGTTGTTTCGTCCTCTTTTGTTCAGTCAAGTGGGAACCCTGTGCAGCTGAAAGCAGGTGACATGCAGCAAGAATCTGCACAGCAAAGGTCTGCTTTGGGATCTTCAGAGACTGACAAAACAAATCTGAGGAGAAGAAGAGGTTCCTAGTGACTGATACAAATATTTCTGTTGTGTCTTGCTGTCCTGCCAAGCAAATTGTGTGGTTCAGGCCTAAGGAAACGCAGAGGCACGAATTGAATTTGAAGCAAATCTTAAATACTTCTCAGAACATGTAGTTTTGGTGGTGTTTTCTTGGCCTTTTTTTTTAAATTGGAATATGGTCTTAATGAACTGTGAATTAAAAAGCTGTAAAGGTGTTTTAAGGTTGTGTTCTAAAGGCTGATGAAATGCCAAGCTCCCATCTGAGGGATTATGGACTTGTGATTTAGCATAGTAATTGTAGGTGCAGTGTTCCTAGCTGTGCCAGTCTCTGGAGAAAGTTACAGCTATAGTCCTGCTCTCATGATCACCTGATACTCAAAAGCACTGCTAGTAAGAGGTCCTAGACTTGTTTGCTGGAATTAAATCTCATTTGGGTAATTCTGCTTAAACTTCACAGAATTTATCACTTCCCATTTACATCTTTCCTTTCTCAGCCATTTTCCTAGACTGCTGTGGATATCTGAATGTTTAAATTGATTATACTGTCATACCTTGTCCCACCTTAGATATGATGATATTTTGCCATTAGAACAGAGCTGGTGCTGGAGGCAGCTTCTGAGAATTGTGTTGGGGCTAGCTGTGAGTAGCTGTGCAGGTGACCTGATGTGGGATGGCAGAGGGACCGGTCCTTTGCCTTTTTCCCACCCACTTAATGCAAGGTATTCAGTGTGTAGCATTAGCTTCTTCTGAAGAATTTGTCTACAAAAGAGAAATAGTCCTTAGAATTATTTTTTAGATTCAAATTAATTTACCTAAAATGTGCATGTACTATGCTAATATTTTTTAAATGTTAGGAGTTATGCATCTTTGTTATTTAGTTTACAGAGAGTTTGACTGAGTGTTGATCTAAAGCTGTAAGAATACTCTGGAAGCCCTGGCAACATGACCTGACTTGTGTGTTGGTGAAAGTAGTTTTACTTGTCAGTAACACTCCCAATGGGAATGCAAACTGTGAGACACTATTCCAAGGATGTGAATAATTCAATGTGTTGCTGTACTGTATTGGGTCACAGCCCAAGACAGTGGGTTGTCTTGCTTTGTATTTTCAAGCACTGACTTGCCTATTGAGTGTTTATGCAAGCTCAGATCTTTATTTTTAAACTAAACCATGGAGAATAAACTAAAAGATTGCTTATGTAGCGCGCTAGGGTTTTTTCAGTAACTCCACAGTCTAGTTTAGTAAGGTGGTAGCAGTCAGTGTAAAACTATCCTTGGTGTAACTTTAAATGTTCATGATAAAAATCCAAAGACATACAAAGGCTAAGCAGTTGAAAATTATAAGATCCAAGAGGCATATTCTTAAATTAAATAGATTACTCTTTCCATACCCTGCTTTCAATGTACAGGGAAAAGTACTTTTCAGTGAAATACCTGTCTCAAATTCAAATGCAGAGCAAGACCTTTGTTCATTTAATTTCAATTTTCAACAAATTGTAATTAGAAAATATTACTTCCTTTTGCACTGCTCTGCAAGAAACTTGAAGGATGATCTTGTGCTGCAGTTAGTGACATTCTTTTAACTTATGTAATTGCCCTTGAGCAACATCAAAATACAATCACTTGGATTTATTCCATAGTCTTAAGTGTGAATTGCTGGGATAGCTCCTCCTGCTAAGCCACAATGATGTCAGTGTTTCGGGAAGAGCTATCATTATGAGATCCCTGTTATTGGTTTGCCTCTTCACTGACCTAAAAACACTTCCTTGTGGCACAGATCTCAAACTCTAACTGTACACAGAAAGATGAGACATTTGGTAAGAAAAGCTTGAGTTAGCTTACTTAAATGGGCACCAAAATAAGTTATTTCAAAAACTGTTGAAGCACAAGGGCTTTAGGATGACAGTTCCTGATGTTAAGGCTGTTCTGCCCTGTCTTGCTGCACCAGAGTGGTCACACTGCCTTTCAGAAGGCTGCCAGGCTGATCACAGGTTAACTACAAAACTCTGAGCTCCTGTTGCTTGCATTTGTACTTCTATTTCCCACTTGTAGTTAGGGGGAAAACCAAGAAAAACACAAACAAGAGGGGAACAAAAAATGGAAAAAAACCCAAACAAGAGGGAGAAACAGAAGCTGTTACCTTTTATACACTGAGCTATTAGAATCTGTATGGGGTTTTTTTATTATTATTTTGAAGCAGTATGCCACAGAATGTAGGCACTTCACAATTATTTTTTTTTGACATACATTTTACCTGATTGTATTACATGTCAGCAGTCTGAAGATTGAGACAGGGCCTCAGAATTCATGAAATATATATAACTAAATATTTTGAAAAGTACTTCCTGTCAGTTCAGTCTGGGGAAAGTAGATAGAATGGTGTGTCAAAAGCTGTGCTTTTTTGTTCATTGAATGGCTGCAGACTTAAGCAAAACCATGCATCCATTCAGTTATAATCTGTCATGCTTCTTGTTTTAGGAAGATACATGTGTAGAATGTGTGATGACTGAGAGGGAGTACCTCCATTAGTGGCATCTTAAGTTGTTACATTTACAGCTCAGACAAAAGTATGGATTTAGGTTGTGTGGGAAGCAACATAGAGACAAAGTACCTGGTGGTTCACACTGGTGTGGACATGGAGTTTTTGGGGCATTTCCTCCTCTTACCATCACTCCTCCTGTCTCTGTTTACAACTTCTCTGGAGTTCTGCTCAAGCTGCAGTGGGCTGCTGAGGAGAGGTTGTCCCTGTTCTGGTCTTTAACTTCTCTTCAGCCTGCCAGTCATTTAGCCTTTGGGTTTTTATCCCCCAGGAGAGAGAAAGTCTTTCCTATCAATGGACTAGCTGCCAACTTGGGATCAATATAATCTTAGCTGTAGTTATTTTTAACAGAACAGCATAACAATCCATTATGCTCCAAATAGGTGGGGTTACTGAAGGTTTTATTTTATTCTCCTGTTCACAAGCAAACTGACAGGAAGCAGATGTTCTCTTAGTGTACTCTGAAGTTAGGCCAGACACAGTAAGTGAAACTTCCTTACAGGTACTTGGGTCTGAATTAACAAGAAAATCAAATGCAGAAGTAAAGGATTTGTCTGCTGTTATTTATTTAACTTTGGCTTTGGTTTTTGGTTTGTTTTTTTTAATTGGAATAATTTCTGTTCCTTTCAGCAAGGCATCCTGTCAAAACTAGTTGAGTTTTTTAGAAGCTGGTTTCCTTTTCCACAGTATAAGAAAAATGATGACATACTTCACCGACTGGTAAGTGATCGCTTTTTTTATTTTTCCATTTCCTTTCCTAATCCACAGGTCTTCCTCTCCTCTGTATGTCATCCTCTGAACATCATCTTTGGTCTGTATTGTTGGTTTTGGCTCTAAGAGTATGACTTATTCTTTAGATGATACTAATTCTGGTTTTCAGTTACTGTGCCAAATTGGGCACAAAAGGACAGGAACAGTATCAGTAGCTGGGTTAAAGATGTTCAAAATGTGGAAGATAATAAAATTTTTGAGAAATTTAAGAAATTATTGAAAGCTGAAATGAGTTTAATTGCAGTGTAGGTACCCCTTTGGTGGAAGGCAGTGGGGAGACACTGAGAAAGTCCTCATGTTGTAGCCTAGTGCCTCACAGAGACCACCTGAGATAGAAGGTTCTAGAGCTTCAACTGTGTATTGCTTCACCCTCTGTTTCAGCTTGTTAGCTCAGGCACAGCACCACCACAGTGCAGCTCTACTGCCCTGGGAACAATCTTCTTTGTTTCTACACTGCTCTCTACAGGGCTTCTGCCTTTGGGAAAGGCAAAGCAAACTTTGTTTGCTCTTTCTCTGCAGCACCACTTTCCAGTCTGGGCTTGTCTCAGATCTGCTTTAACTTGTATCCAGCTCCTTCATGCTCCTAGTATGGCTTGCAAGTGTCACTTCAGACTGTTCCAGAATCTAGAATTTTGATTTATTTTTTTCTACCATGCTGTAGGGATGATGGCTTCAAATGGAGCTTCAAAAGAAAACGCTGAGCAACATGAGACGTTAAAATTTTCCATTTCTCACAGAGTTCTGCTGTATCTCAGTTCACCTTTATCTCAGGAGGATATAATTTCCTCTGAAAAAATAGTGATCTTTGATTGACTTTTTTTCTTGAATCAAGGGTTTTAACAGCAATTTTTAGCCTTACTTTCTTAAGATGGAGGCATAACTGAAGAACATGGAAAACATGTTTGTCCTGCTGCATACTCCAGCAGAGTACTGAAATGACACAGGATGCGTCGGAGGAGGGCAGAGTTTCCTCTTGCACACAGTCCTGAGACAAATGTTTTCCATTAAAAGTAGAATGAAAGTTATCTGAGGTGACATCTGTGCATGGAATTAAATTTCTCAACTAGCTATCTTATGGTTTCATAAAGAATCTCATTCTGTCAGTGACAGAATGAAACAGATTTTGTACTGTGAAATGTCACATTTATGTTAAAAGTTTCTATTAGAGACTTTTCAGAAATACTCTCTTTTCTCTCTTGTACTTAGCTAGATTCAGGGATGCACATGTTCAGTGTTTGTTGGGTTTTGTTATGACATTCTTAACTTGAAGTAATTATGGTTTGGTGCAGTATGCAAATAAAAATTTCAGGGGGCTACTCTGATGGCTGTATTTGTCTTCATGAGCTCCATATTTGTCTTCAAGAGCTATAGTTGGGGCAAAAGTAGCAAGTGCTAATGGCTTAAAATTCTCAACCGTGTAACTCCCTAAAGCTTGCCTGAGGTTTAGCAGGTGGGAGGTCTTCAGAGCCCCATGCTGTTTCATGTTTGGATGGAGGTCCCTTGGGAAAGGTACAGAATCCTGCAGGAGGGTACTCCACTGCCTTGGTTTGAGGCTTTGATCCAGTGCTGACACTGCTATTATTAAGTGTCCACAAGTGACATTTGTTGACTAATTAGCAGTATCTCTCTTTCTCTCTATAAGTTTTGTTTGTTTGTTTGTTAATGATATAAATGATGTCATGACATTTAAAAAAAAAAAGTAATTTTCTGTTTTTTAATTGGCATACTCTGTCATGTGTTTCCAGTTATTGTTATAATCTGGGTCAGATCACAAAGTCAGTGTGATGCATCCTGCAAGCCCGAACTGTTAGGTAGTGTGTGAGCTTTAAAGGTTAAACAAGTTTAATAAAAAAGTAGCTACTTGTGCTATATCTGAAACATTTCACTGCTCTGGGAACAGATTGTTGTCAGTAAAGTGTAGGGTGTGTGGGTGTTTTTCTTGTTCTGCTAACTTAATTTTAAGAATTTGCATATTCTTTACTAATGCCTGGTTTTTCTCCTGCCCATTTGTATGTGGTAAGGATGTTGGATTTCGATTCGACACGCTCCGTACCATCCTGCAACAGGAAGTTCTGCTGCAGGAGGATGTGGAACTGATTGAATTCCTTGACCCCAGTATCCTGTCTGCGGGGCAGTGTAAGCAACAGGAAAACAGACAGCTTCCAACGCTACGCTCCCTAGCAACTCCTAATATTTGGTATTGTATTGAGGATATCTACCATTATAGTCACTGAGAAACAAGCAAAAAGTATATTGTGCATTCTTGATATAAAATGCAACATTAAAGTAACTATATTTATTCTCATGTCCTTGGGTCTTTATTCTACTAGTCCCCAAATTTTTGTATAAGCATGTTTTTTCCATTGGGCATTTTATTGAAAGTGTGAATTTTAATCTGAGGTAACTGCATGAACATGAATGAATACTCCCTGACTGATATATTCTATAAGAAGGAACTAGCATAGTTGATTAAGTAATTAATTTCTGAAGCTATTTAGAGGTGATTTTGAAAATGAGACATGAGTGTGAAGACTGAATTAAAAAGTGTTTATTTTGGCGTGGTCTTTATAAAATATGTTGTGTGTGAGGCAGCAGTATCCGAATAGCTACCCACCTGTATTTAAAAAATAACAATGCCAGTGGTTGTTCTGACAGTGCCTTGCTTGGAAATGTGGTAATCAGTAGGAAAAAATATCACATAATATGGGTCAGTGTTATTTTCTCATATATACCCTAAAAAAGTAGACAAAATTATTATAGAGTCACACCTCAGCTGTTTAAGTTGTGTCAATATTGATGCTCTCTGTCAAACAAGAGAACTTTTGAACCAGATTTTTCTGGTCCTGGCATTATTCAGTTTCTTTAACTTTCAGCTGATAAAGTACACTTACAAAATTTGTGAATGTTGTTCACCTTCCAGATGACATCAAGTTTGTGTTTTCATTGACTAGAGGTCAGCAGTAGCTTGGAGAAATACCTTGAAAATGATAGAAAATTCAATAAAGACAAAAGTTTAATGCTACACTTGGGAAGGAAAAGTCAAGTTAAGAAACACCAAGTGATGAATAATTGGGTATGCAGTACTGCTCCAGGAAAGGATCTGCATATCTCTGGGATGGAACAGTGTTATGATATGTACAAGGTGGTGATCAGTCATCATTTGTTCTGTTCAGAAAAGGGAAGGATATGAGGAAGAATAATGCAATTAATCTGCCAGTGATTCAAACTGGGACTTGGGGGACATCTTCTGAACTCTAAGGATACTTAGGAGTTGGAATAGCCACGACATTGGTTGTGGAGTCTCCATTTTCATCTTTGGCCTGTCCATGATGATCTAGGTTAACCAACCAGAAGCTGAAAATGAATGAAGCGAGCTATTAAATCCCTTCTAGTCTTTCATTGTTGTGATTTTATTTATTTTATTTGTGGTACTTTTTTTTTTTTTACTGTACCAAGGAGGTTAGAGACTGTGTGTCTGTCCCTTTCAGAGGTAGTTACATATTTGGAATATTTTAACCCTGAATTTTTACTAAAACCTTTCAGTAGCCAGAAGCCTTAAAGAGTTAACACTTGTAAACCTGGTTGAAATTTGACCACAAAACTGTCCAGGATATAGAAACGCAGATATTGTGCCTTATTTTAGAAGTGGAAAAATATGCCAAGTTTATACTTCCAAACCTAAATGCAGGATACACAGCTTTAAGGGATGAAGGAAAAAAATGTTTTTCATTGAAAACATTCTGGAAAAATATAGTAGTAATGCACCTTGAAGCTGGTATCCCATCCATCTCTCTGAAGAGTGTGATTATTTTACAAAACCATGTAGTAATATATATGAAACACAGTGTATTTTCTAGCAGTTACTTATTTATGTTGAATTTTTATAGAGGAAAGTAACAACTTTATAAGCTTTTTAAATGTCTTTGAGACATAACTGAGATACTAGGAAATCTATTCTTTACATATTTTCAAATGGTGCCAAATTTTTTAAAAAGATTATTCAAGCCATCTTTATAAAATTATGTTAGAAACTAGTGGTGCATTGGTGTCCAAGTTAAATGAGTCAGACTCTAGAAAAAATACAGCTGGCACTAATTGAGGTATTTGCTACCAAAAGAAACATGCCCTTCCCTACTGTACTCTTGAACCTGGAAGTACAGATATTACAGTTCCTACACGCCCTGGTTTATAATGCTGAGTAGTCAGGTTTTCTCTTTTTTTAATTTTCTTTTCTATTTTTTTAAAGTCATGTAAGTGTGTAAGAGAAACTGACCTTTCAAAGTGGTACATTACTCTCCTACTCATGATGTAAAAAAGCTGAAGAAAGGTTTCCTTAGAGTTTACCAGCCAAGTAATATCATGTACGTATTCATCGAAACCTGTCACAAAGAGTAGTTTTCAGTGTTTACAGCTCCCTTCAGGACCTACATAAAAGCCCCACAGTAAGATCTTGTAATCGCAAATGTAACTGAGAACTTGGTAATTTTCCCATCTGTTTGCCCTGAGTAATGTGTGGTGGTGGTACTGTCTCTGTTTGCAGGGATGTCTCGCTGTTCCTTGCCTTTGTAAGTGCGCTGCTCATGTTTCCTTCGTGGTGGGAGGAATCCTCGTGGCTGCTGTGCACGCCCCTGCTGCTCTATGCAGCCGCTAGAGTGTGGGGCACGTGGAGGACAGCCAAGCTGCAAATGTCCCTGCGAAAACACTGTATCCAGCTGGAAGAAACAGTGGCCAATAGCCGGGCCTTCACTAACCTCGTGAGGAAAGCTCTACGACTCATTCAGGAGACCGAAGTGATTTCCAGAGGATTTACCCTGTGAGTCTGTATTTCACTTTACTTAACACACAGATCCATACAAACCAGCTGTTGTCTAAAATTGTCTTGTTACACTGTCTCCCATAACAACTGGAATTACTGGAAAACATAATACTTAATGGTTTTAACTTACATGAAGTAGTATAATTACCATTCATAGTAAAAGTATGAGTTCTAATATCTCAGTGTTAAAATCCCACATCCTGAAGATGAATTAAGTCTCACAAAACTCAGGTGCCTTTGAATGTCCTGCATTGATAGCAATGAAATATATGAAGAAATAGACTTTGAACTAAGTTAACTATTTTGGAGAGTCATTTAGAGAGTTTCTTATCTTACATTACCAAATTTATGTAAATAAACTGGTCTGCAAGTAATCATTCATATTTTACAAAACAGGATTACATGAAAACCATTCTATTTTTATTTAACAAATATGTTTGAACTAGTGAGAACACAGTAATCAGCAAAAACCATGAAACATTATTTCCCACCTCAAGTAAAGTTAACATTAGTCTTTTTTTCTTGCATACAGGTGTTGAAACATTTAGATTCTTAAGTTATTTACTGTTGAATTTGCCTTTCTTCCACTTAAGGGATGCAAAAGTGCTCTGAGTATTTAGCTCTTGTAGTTATTTGATAAGTTTTGCTGATTTTTTGTGTGAAAGGACATCAGAAAATGTTCAGTGTATGCAGTGATTCCAAAGCCAACAGGCCTGTTGCTGTGCACTCTCATTGCCGTGGATGCTTTTGCATTGTAACCACCTATGATGAATCCATGTGTGCCAATTCTGCTTAAGGCTAATGGAGGTGGCAAACACCAACACCTAAAATAGTCAAAATTCTTTCTAAAAAAAATCAGAAGTTCCCTTCTCGGCAACAAGATGTTTATCTGTGCCAGACCAACTATTCTACACTCACACATGTTCTTACATGCAAGTGTGCAACTTTAGTCTTAAAATTCTGGATTAATTTTTTAGCTTGAGATACCTTCAGTGTATTTCACTGAAGAAATGTTTCATTCTGCCTCTGGAATGCATAAGCATGTCTTCAGTCTGCCTAGCTATGTGGTTTTTGTTTTGCTCTGGATTTTTGCTGAAGAAGCATATACTTGAGCAATAGGCAGTCTTATCTTTGCAAACGGGTTCTTAAAAGAAATTATTGTTCAGGCTTGTCCAAATTACAGATGAGAAAAACATTTGGATTTTTGCCTAAGTTTAAGCAAACGAACTTGTGGTCAATGTCTAAATTGCTGCTGCCTTGTTCTTTTACTACATTTCTTAGATAACAGATTAACAAAAAACAGACTGGTCTTTAAGCTGATGCTTGATCTAATAGCTTCTTTACTTGAAACTTTGGCAAGCTTTTCAAAAGACTTGGATATATGGATGGAGTGGGAGAAGTTTGACTGTGCCAGCATCTTCAATGGAACAACTGTACAGTATAAAGAAGTCAATGCTGTACAAGTTTTGGGTTGGTTTAGCCTAGAGGAACTTCTCACTCCAGAGTGTCCTTTTCTGCATCCACATATGCAAGAGATGCTGCTGCACAGGGCAGTGTGAAATTCTTTCCTAGAATTTTCTACAGTAAACCAGCAGAACAAAGTTTAGTATTTTCTCCTGTAGTAAGGTTATCAAATCTTAGTGCTTTTTCAGAAGCAATCTCATGGCAATAGAAATGGTTGCATTTGAAAAGTTACTGAGTATCCTCTTGTATTATTTTACATCCTTGAAGGAATGAGATTTCAATGAGGTGCAGTATCCTGGTCAGTGTTACATGTGCAGCTGTTTTAAGGTACTCCTGATTCAGCATAGGCCTGTGCATTGACCATATTGTGAGTGGAAAGATACTGCAGCTGTTATTTAAATAGTGCCATGCTCAGACTTTCACTGGTTGTACTTAGCTAAACTCTGACAGGGCAAGTCCAGGTCTTCAGCTATGGCCTGAAGTTCCTCATGCTCCACTGCAGGTTTTCCTCCCCATGACACCATCCATTGCTGTTCTCATAGGCTAATTTATACATCCATTGAGATATCTATGGCTTTGCTTTATTCCACCCTATTTGCCCCTTATTAATTGATTCTGGACTGTCTCTGTAAATGGTAGATTATTACTGATGAGGTACTGGTCAGTTCTCTATAGGTTAAGTGGTTTATTACTGTGTGGTAGTGCCTGCTCTACTCAAATAGATAGTCAAACATCCTTTTGCTTTCTTTCACCTCCCAGTAAAACTGACTGCAGCCACAGGAACCAGAACAGGAATTAGATCAGGAACTAAGAACTTGAGGGGGGAGCTTGGATTAGATGGCCTCCAGTGGTCCCTTCCAATCTTAACTATTCTGTGATTCTGTAATCCTGTCAGGCTTCTCTTACATTAGCTGCTCTCAAAGACAACTTGATTTTCTGATTCCACCTGGCCTTTGGAAGTGTTTAAGGCTCTGTTGGAATCTCAGGTGTGTCTGCTTGGTACCAGCTCTGTGAGGCTGAGACCTCACCTGGCTGGCTTGGATTACAGAAATTGTATAGCAAAGGTAGGGCAGTATTTCTGTCTAATTGCTTCATTTGCAATTAGCCAAATGAAGCCTGATCACAGGTTGCAGCCTGGAATTTCTGGAGGGTAATGAAAGTATGCCCATTATCTTGCACATCATAAAACAAGAACTGAAGGAATACATAATGGAAGGCTGCAGCAGTAAGCCCAAGTATTTATTCCCTTGCTTGTCACCAAAATAATTTTCTTTTCTGAAATGCTCCCTTTTTACTGTATTTTAAACTTGAATTAAGCTCTGTGAACTTAATACATATGAATGTATATGAGCATCTTTAAAGAACTGCTTTCATGGTGGAGTGCAGTAATAGATTTTTATTAATGTGTTTATATAAACTTGTTAAAAGTTGAAAGCCAATTTAAGATTTGGCTAGTAAAATTAATTTAGAAACATGTTGTTCTATACAGTAAAGTGGGTTTGGAGCTGTAGAAAAGGAGAAATTCACCCTTAAACTTTCTTTGCTTCTTGCTACTTGTCGCTGATATGCAAAGCTGGTAACATTTGGATAACTTGTAAGTCCAATTAAAATAGATAGAGGATAAGAGAGAGACTTTTTACAAGGGTGTGTGCTGATAGGACAAGGGGGAATGGCTTTAAACTGAAATAGGGCAGGTTTAGACCAGATATTAGGACAAAAATTCTTGACTGTGAGGATGGTGGGACAGATTGTTCAGAGAAATGGTGACTTACCCATCCCTGGAAGTGTTCAGGGCCAGGCTGTATGGGGCTTTGAGAAGTCTGGCGGAAGGTGTCCCTGCCCATGGCAGGGGGTTTGGAATTAGAGGATCTTCATATTCCCTTCCAACCCAAACCATTCTGTGATCTGTGAAGATAAATGAAACATTAGGAATTTAGGGATATGATATGCCTGACAGAAAGACATATAATAGATTCTACTAATTAAATTAGTCAAATAAGGAAGAATTTTTTATAAAAAGCACTGAAACAGTCCATTCCAGAAGGAAAGCAGATTGTTTTGCTGCATACTGGCAGTACATGCTGTGCTTGAGTTATGCTATATTTGTTCTCTATAGGAGCTGGAAAAGTCTGCATCACTGTAGTAGAACATAGATCCCTGTTTCTTTTTTATGGTAGAAGAATTTTACTCCTTTTCTTTGAGCTTTCTTCTGACAATTCACATGGGCTTGGGTCTACAAACTAATGTGAGAGTTTATACATAAACACTTCAGTTGTTACTTTCAAAAGCTAGGGAAAGGTTAGAGATTGGCATGTACTGCATTACATGCTGTGTTCCCTACTGAAAGATCCAGCAAGGCTAGCATTTTCAATTTACATTTAGAAATGGAAATGAACACAGTTTGGTTTTTATTTTTTTCAGATTTTAAAGTCATTTATGAGATGTTATATAAACCATTTTAATAACACATAATTTAAAATGGTATGCAGATATTTTCTATAGTATTTCAGCTAGCATATTCAATATATGGCAATATTTGGCATGAATCTGCTTGTGTTAATGGTGTTAAACATACTGATATATGGTTCCAGCCTTGCTCACTGGGTGGGCTGCTCTGGTTTTCATATTTGATAGTGAAGGCCACAAGCTATTTCTCTTCCCAATGTGCAGCATGGTCCAGCTGAGCACATGGAGTAGGACTGACATTTTCCCAGCAGTGTCAGTCTGCTGACTTGGTCAGCTTTTTAGTCAGATGGACTACAGAAATAGTTACCAATGCAGCAACCCACCTCAGGCTTACCAGGTACCCTGTATGCTTTTCCCTTTTAAGTGACTGCACATGAAATCACCTCTTCACCCTGCCCTGGGAGAGGTGAGAGCAGAAGCAGGCTTCCAGTCCCCAAAGAATTAATCACAATTGATTGTCCTATTGTCCAGACCATGTTAATTCCTGAGTTGATTCTAGTAAAATCAGTCCCAGCAAGCAGAGTGCACCTAGGCTGTTTCCAGAGTCTCAGTCACAGGTTTGACATCAGATTGTGTATGAAAAGATACAGCTGGAGCCTAAAGTTCTGCAGACCTGTTCAATGTTCACCCAGATCACAATTCATTTTATTTCCAGATGAGATGATTTCTTACAGTGCTAAAGCCAATCTGAGTTATATTCTAATAGGCAAATGGCATTGTTTCTTTTAAATGGTATATTCACCTGAATAGCCAGACACCAAATTTATCTTCCAATATGCTTGTGTGGTGTATACATGTCATGTGTTTACCTGTCAGGATTCTCACAAACACAGCTGCCATTCATTGCATGATGATAAAATCTACGTCACTTCTGAAATAATATTTTTCTTCACCTAGAAAACTTTCTGCATCAGGAAGGTTAAAAGAATATAGTGTTTTGTATGGAAAGCTATGTGTTGGCACCTTTTTTCTGCAAAAATTATTGGAAAAATAAATTTGGATATAAAGAGGTATATGTTAAATATATGTTTATTAAAACTTCCAAAGCTGACAGTGGGCTTGTAATAGCTTTGTGTCCTGATTGAGAGAATGTTACGGTATGTCTACCATTACTACACCATTTTGGAAAATTTCAGAGAAAATAAATGTGCTCAGGAGTTTTGCCATGGCTCAGATGAGAATAGATTAAGGCTATTTACTGAGGAATCCTGGCAGCTGTCTGAAATTTTGATTAAATATATCATTGATATGATCAGGGTTTAGTCTCATAGTTACTGAGTGATTTGAAAAAGCTTTCTAAGCAATGAAATAGGAAAACTGATGTACTGTTCTTTAAAAATACTTTAGGACATCTGTACAGTTGTATCACATTTTACTTTTCAAGTTTGCTTGACAGGGTCAGTGCCGCTTGCCCATTTAATAAAGCTGGACAGCATCCTAGTCAGCACCTGATTGGCCTCCGGAAAGCCGTGTATCGATCCGTCAGAGCCAACTTCCGAGCTGCAAGACTGGCCACTCTGTACATGCTGAAAAAATATCCTTCCTCTAAAAACCCTCCACTTCAGGTAGCCCATGTTGCCTACTGCCACTTGTGCCAATGTTGAGAGTCAGGATGTCTAGAAACATACAGCATCTAATTACATAAACAAGTGAAAGAAAAGGTAGCTTAGTAAATTGGGGCTTGTGTTTGGTTTGGAACATGCTTTAAATTTGCCATTTTGTGTACTGTGCATTGTGATAAGTTTCAGTGCACTGAAAACATTGTATCATTATTGACACCCATGCTTTGGTGTAAGTGTTAGTGATGTGTTTCAGAGCCCTTCAAAATTTTGTTTTATAATTCCTCTTAGCCCAAAATATCCCTTGCACCAACATATCCTCTTCTCTGAACAATATGGCCTTTCACTTGACATCCCTGTGTTCAAAGGTAAGTTGGTTTTCTTCTACCAAATTATCTGCAGCAAATTAAGCTTTTATGTTAATGTATATCTCAAATATGTTGGAAGGAGATCAGTCTGATGAACCTGTGACAGAGAATTAAAAATTTTAGATCACAGCTTTATTCATGATGGTACAAATTGCATAAACTTGATATGTTATCATTCTCACTTCTACTCAGTAGAACTAGAAGTTCAGCAATATTTGCTTGTGGCTAGTGTACCTTCTTTTAGTTAGATAACTGCCTTCAGTGAGTACAGTTAAGTATTTTTTACCTAATTAAAATTTGTTCCCATGTAGAAGAGAAAATATGCAGTCATATTTTAGCCTTATACCAGGCAGTTGTGTCAAACTTGGTAGACCAGTGATTTAATGAGAGGGAAAGTCATATTGCTTACATTTTGTGTGGAGAGACAGTTGGGTGCTAGCAGAAACAACTCAGCATTTGCTCACACCATTCTTGCTCTGATTTGTTCATGTCAGCAAGAGTGCATTGCTCAAAGTCACAGAACAAAATGCCATAGAAAAGGGTATTTCTCTTTTAATTCAGAATCTAAGGTTATAGCAGGATGCAATGGCTGAAAGCCTAAACTAGGAATTAGGCACTTTGGGTTAAGTATTTACAGGATGTTGTGCAGACCAGTTCAAAAGTTCTCTGCACTGTCCTTCATTGAATTGTGTGGTAACTCAGGCAGTGCTTCCCTTGGCATGCTAGCTGCTTAACACTTCTATTCTTAAGAGCCTTGTGGGTTCTGCATCATGGGAATCTGGTGTAGCTATATACAAGCTGGATGGAGGAAATCTTGTAGCTTATGTTACTGGCTGATGTTAATAATCTCATCCTCTGCTGTGCAGAATGGTCTGATTTGAACTATTTTCATAGGTAGGACTTGGGCATTGCACCACGTAAACTTAAAAAGCTTGGATTTTGGTGTGAGGTGATGTTCTTTGCTGTCAAGGCATAACTAGTGTTATTTTTTTATTAGTGATAAAACCAAACATTGGATAGTGGTATTTTAAATGGAGTGATATCTAACCCTATTAGAATGGAATGCATATAAAATGCATTCTGTGCCTTTGAGATGCACCGGGCACAGGGACATCTGCAAATTTCCTGTAGTAAATCTAGTAAAAACTTGTTTCTGCTCTGTAAAGGTTTAGTTATTGCATCATGAACTGTTAGAAAACTCCATACCTTTAACTAGGGAGGGGGAAAGTTCATGCAAGAAAACAAGTAAGGTAAACAAAAAGTAGTACCCTCTTGAGATGATAAACGCTTAAATTGCCACGCTGAAATATCTGAGTAGAGTCACTTGGGCATTTTTCAGTGCAGTGTTTCTTCCTTGACCAGCCAGTTCATCACATGCTTAGCTCACCCCTGGTGAGCAGGTGAGAATTTGTAGAAGAGCAGCTTAGATTTCCTAGGGATCCTGTGAGGCCCCCCTGTTAGGTCTTCAGATGGGAATGTGCTTTTGAAGACTGAAGTATGAATGTTAGATTGTTACATACAGGGATACATTAGCAATCTTGTTTTTCTATAGGTAAATAAGAGTGTCTAACCTGATAAGAGGTTAGACATTCACTGTACAGGTATTTTATTCTGGATTTGACAGTTCATTATTAAGTAGCATTGCCTTCTCTTTCTTTCAAGCTAATAAAGCATGTAAGTTAAACAGATGAATGAAATATTTTCACGGAGACAAAGAAAAATTTAACTAGTCTAAGATAGTTAGGCTTTAGTATTTTGGCTTTAACTACTGACTAGGAGTCAGTAGGGCTAAAAATACGACGAGATCAAAGTGCACAAAGGAAGTGTGTTCCTGTATATAATGGTGTGTATGTGTTTAAACTCTCTAAATGTTTGATCCTTAGGAAGTTAATGGGGGCATGGGATCAGTTCTCTGCTTTCATCTGTCAGATAGAAATGGGAGTGGAAGGCTCTGCAATAGAGGAAGGCAAGGCAGGAGGTGCAGGAGGCCACTGGGAATCCCTGGCTGAGACACAGCATGGGTAAGTGGCTCCTTGGTCAAACCTCATGTTTAAGATGTTGCCTGGAATTTATTTTTAGCATGACTTAGGAATCCATGTGTGTCCAAACTGCTTTTTGTGGTGTTCATATTGTTGGAAATGCCATGTTGCAGGAAAAGGCTAACAAGGAGTACAAGTAGTTTCTAAGATTAGTGGTCCTGAAGGGTTTTGACCTGACTTTTCAATTTCTGATGGAGTTACCATCCTCATCCTATGTGCTCCCTCTGCTGGGCATGCTGTCAGGTTAATTCAGAGTAGACACCATTTATGTGAGGCAGCTGCTGGTGACGGCAGTAATATTCTGATCCTAATTAATTTACATTGCAGGGTTTTGTTTGAACACTTAATAGGCTTGTTCCTTTCCAGACATCAGGAATAAAGGAGGGAGGAATGTTGTTTTTTTACACATCCTGGACACTTTGCTTTACTGTTTCCTGGGACACAGAATATTACTTTTTTCCTGCAATGTTCTTCTGCTTAACTGGTAAAAGTCTCTTGAGCAAATCAGTTTTGCGAGTTCAATCCTATGAGAATTTAGGACATGGACAATTTGGGTGTGAAAGCGGATGGAACTCGTAGCTTCCCCCTGAAAACACATTAGATGGACAAGAGACAAGTGCTTCTAATTGGCTTTATGTGCAAGAGATGAGAGCATTCAGTTTCTAGATCAAACTATAAATGAAAACCAAATATATTAAATTAAGACCATATTTTCATTAATGCTTTACAAATATATATATATATTTCTGTGGTACAGATGTGATTTTGTACTTATGGCCATAAGTTTGCATTTCTGTTTTAAAATGAATTTTACTATTTTGTGACTGGGTAACTATCAGAAAACATGCAAAACATCTTGAACTGTTCCTCCCCAGCCTGAGGCCATCCTAAAATTAGTGCTATTCTAATAATAAATAAAATTAAGAAAATAATAAATGCTGCCTAGTCTATGAATTATTTTTTCTATTTTCTGTTATCAGTTATATTTGGCTTGCTTCCTACTTTTTAAGCATTTTTGAGGACTAGAAATGTACATTTTCCTACTGAGATTTTAAATGTGCTGAATGGTGTTGATAGATACCAGTTTGCCACTCATCCTGCCAAGATCATAATGTCTTTACAGTGATGTAATCAATAAAGTTAATGTTATGACATAGTCAGGGAGCTCCTGTTCTTCACAGAGCTCTCTGAAATGTCAAAGATCTTTTACTGTAAAGGCCTCTCTGAGCAGTCCATCCACAGACAGACCCCTCAGCGAATTCACATCCTGAGTTTAGTCTATAACACAGGCTACCTTTAAAACTTAAAATTGCACAATTGTTCTCTTTCCTCTGTTAATTTCTGGTTTAAGATTGACATGAACTATTTCTTGGAAACTCAATATTTAAAATTAAGATGTTTCACTCATTTAAAAGGGATGCAGGGATTTTTCATTAATCTACTTTGTTTCTTTTTATGTTTCTATTTTGACATAGGTGTTTTGTCAGTGTCTTATCTCTCATCCTTCTAAGAGCCTTTAAAAATTATGCTTCAAATAAGGATTGCAAAACAGGATTCAGGTAGATTTGGGATGAAAGTATGTGATTTCATAAAAATTGCCTAGAATGAGAAACCTTATTAAGTATTTCTTTCCTTTTGTGTGTGTTTAATGCAAAAGTGGCTTTGTTTACCACCTTAACTCCAGCTAAACTTACCCTCTGAACTCGGAGAGTGACAACGTGACCAGCTACATCTGTGTGGTCCCCTTTAAGGAGCTGGGCCTGGGACTGAGTGAGGAGCAGGTCTCTGAAGAGGAGGCACACAATCTGACTGATGGCTTCAGCTTGCCTGCACTCAAGGTAAGCTCTCCTAGAAGGGCTTCATGCATCCATGCAGGCTCCTGGTGAACATCTTTCTGTTGTCACGAAGTCCTGTGGCTTGTATGTCCTAGCCTGTAGCAACACACTGAATGGAGGTAAGGTGTTATCAGTCAAGCTCTTATCATGTGTTCTACATTTATCAGCATTCACCTGATTTCTTTGTGCATGTAGAGAAAGAGAAGTTACTCAATACAACATTAGGATATTTTTCTGCAAATGATGGAAGTTCAAGTCAGTTGTTCTATAATCAGCTTGATCAATCCCCTTAAACATGATTTTTTGCTCTCTGATTTAACCTGATCCCAGCTGAATAAAATAATTTCTGGATTTGTACTTAATTCTTTTTTTTTATCTAATCTTTTGATATGAATAAAAAGAGAGACATCAAAAATCACAAATTAGTTGTAAATGCCAAAGGGAGTAGCTGCATTTAGTCATACTGAGGAGCAGAAATCATAAGCTTGGACCCCTGCTGCCATGAGCCAGTGTGGTTCTTTGATCTTTGAAAAACTTTTAACTGAACAGAGTGACAACCATATAATGGCCTTTTTATGTATTTTGTTTTGAGATGTTAGTTTTTTTTAATTTGAATGAGTCAATTGGAAGGAAGATCTAATTTGAATGCAAGCCTTCTATACTCTAATGACCCTCTGCCAGGGCAGTTCCCCTTTAGCATTGTCTTTTTAATGGAAAATTCCATTATTATATGACTTCTGTGTTTCTCTGGGGTTGGCTTTTGTTACATTTTTTTCTCTTAATTTATAGACCTTGACTTCTTTTGTTCTGACAGTAAATGCTACCAGTAATAGTGATTACTAAGCTTTGATGCTTTGTCTAATTAGCTGTAAGCTAAGAGCTACAATAAATAGCAGCTTTTGGGATTTTTTTTCTTGCACTTCATTAGCTGAAGTTCTAATTGCAACCATGTAAGCCTGCTAATTTACCCACTTCTTTTTAAGCACAAGAAGCCAGTAAGAGGTGCCCAAGCTTGTAAGCTAAGCCTTTGTTTACCTGCAACTTGCAGTAATTTAACTGAACTCTGTTTTAGTTAAACTGGTTAGGATGCTTTCTGGATACACTTAAGATCACAACAACTAGAAAATCTCAATTTATGGTAACTCATAAAAGCCAGCAATGTAGGCTGGGTGTGGTATAGCTGAACCAAGCTAAATTCACAAAAATCAGTCCTAAGCAGATTCCTGTGTAGGTATAACATACTTTGATAACCTTGGGACATATTTGTGTGGTGAGCCTTGGATGTATGTGCAGTCCTCTTTGGTTTTGTTTTTTCACTTTAAGAGAATTTGCCTCTATAATAAAGTGTAGGTCATGCTAAGCCATATGACAAATGTGTCTTTTGGCTACCTTGTCCTTGAAGTAAAGCAATTTAAAGAGTGAAAATTTTTCACTTAAGAAAAACATCCCAGTTTAAGCTGAGGAGAGCCAGGTGGATATTTTGTGTCAGCAAAGATCATCAGTAGTTACTAACAGAGCAAACTGCTTGCAACCATAAATACATCTGGAATTTCCTTTTCTCTTGTCGTTGTGCCTTTTTTTCAGGTAGGTTTTTGATTATTATTATCAGTTCCTGAAGTCCACTATTTCTGTATGCTATTTTTTTACTGCCTGTGATTTATATCTGGTGGAAGGGATTGGTCTTCTTTTGTGCTTATTACAGCATGAGCTTTTGATTTTTTTATCCAGGGCACTACACGTTCAGGGACACTTGAGTGATTGCTGCCCATTTGTTTGCTTTGTATTTTTGCACCCAGCCAAATCAGTCTTGCATGTATACCCCAAATTAATTTCATGTCATTCATGTATTCTTTTTTCTCATGAGCATCTTTTGTAAATTGAGATTCTTTTTTCTTTTGGAATACTTTCTCAGTTTGCATCCAAGTATTTTTGATGTGATGAGTAAATGTTTTGCCTTCCTTGGTCTGGAATGCTTGCGAACAAGTTTCAGTCTCCACCTCATAATCACCTATAGCTGATCCCTTTTAATAAGGGCCATTATTGCAGAGAAAAGTATCATAACCTTTCCTTTGCATTTTAGACATAAAAGGTGCTGCTGTACTGTCATGGTCTCCTGAGCAAACTTCTCTAAACTAAGAAAACTGTTCTTTTCATTTCATTGGAAGTGGAACTTCTCAAGAAATTGAAATTTTGGACTGCCTTGCTCCTAGATGGACTGTCCTCTTTAGTATCATATATAACATTGTTAATCAATCCATTTCATAAAAGACTTTCCTTCCTTAGTAGTATTGGTGGAATTTCTTACTTTGGCTGAAAAAAGAAATAAGTTGGCAGCCCAACTTTCTTCAGATGCAGAATATTTTTTTTGTTGAAGTACAGTGCAATTAGGCTCATGTTTCGAAGTTGGGTGTGGGGCAATGCAGTAGTTATTAGATTGTAGAAATGACAGCTTGGCCTTATAAAGGGAAAAATGTCTTTGCTGCCACTGGAATTTTGGCAGCCCTTTATGAGCCGTAGGGTATGTGGAGATTATAGCAAATAATGAAACTGGCCGACGGGAATATGAGGTTTTGGACTCTGACAACTTTATGAGCATAATTGCATTTAATATCCTTCATCAAGGAATTAACAGTCACCTAAGGTTCACAAGATCTGAACCTCACGCACTCTGGAATACCCTTCAAAAACAGTCAGCGGATTTTTGCAGTTTTTCAAAGTTCCCGTTGCCGGCCAAGGAATGTTTTCCCATGGTGTATTCGTACATTTACTTTGGAAGTAAATGTACACAGGTGCACGGAGCTAACCCTCCCCTGTTTTGCAGGTCCTCTTTCAGCTCTGGGTAGGGCAGAGTTCAGAGTTTTTCAGGAGGCTGGCGCTGCTGCTCTCCCCGGCCAACGCGTGCCCCGAGCCCTCGGCGTGCCCGGAGCGGCTGCCTCACCGCATCCTGCGCGACGTGGCCCAGGGCCTCCCCGGCACGCACGCTGCCTGCCTGGCCGAGCTCCGCAGGAGCTACGAGTTCTACCGCTACTTCGAAACACAGCACCAGGCGGGCCTGCAGTGGGCAGCCAGGGGCAAGCAGCAGTGCAGGGAGCTCAACAGCCTGCAGACAGCCGTGCGCAGCCTGCAGCTGCACCTCAAGGCCCTGCTCAATGAGTGAGTTTACACCTGAATTAACAGAAGGATTGGGACTTGAAGTTCTTTGGGTTGGCAGCTTGTGTCCCCAGTTAAAAGCAAAAAAAGTCTCTGCAGTCATAGCCATATCTTCACTCAGTATGGGCCCAAAGGTTTACTATGGAATGTGATATTTTTCCTGGGTATTCTTTGAGTATCTGAAAACTTGAAGATAAGCAGTGCGCTAAGATTTTGCCTTGCTTTTGTGACTCCCTTAGAAAACATAATCATCTTCCATTGATTTTTCCACATATCTAATGCTTTATAAGAATATTCAGCTCATAGTAACTAACTAGTAAATATCCTTAAAGATTTGTCACTGCCTTGGTAAAACAGTTGAGACTGTCCTACTCCTTTAACCTTACATGTAAGAATTACTATAACAATCGCAGGTATTGCATTGCTAATCTTATACATAAGCAATGTATCTTGATGTAGAAAAAATATTTTAATTTTAAAATTTTGGGACATCTTTGAGTAATTGACTGAGTTGGGTTCTTAAAACTTAAAGGAAATAACAGTATTTAACATTAAATAATGGAAAGAATGGTGGAGTCAAATATTTATTATTACTTACTGCTGTTTGTCTCCTCATTACTTAGGGTAATAATTCTTGAGGATGAGCTTGAAAAGCTTGTTAGCACTAAGGAGACACCTGAGTTGACAACAGAAGCCCGTCAGGTTCTGGAACAAAAACTAAAGTTTATTCAGCCTCATATCCAGGCAAGCAACAGCTGCTGGGAAGAAGCCATTTCTCAGGTGGAAAAAATGAGTGGAAGAAACCCAAATAAAAAAGGTAAATGTGAGAGATTAATTTAGCAGCTAATGGGATACACTTCAGAGATGAAATGGTCAAATGAATCGGTGACAGTGTTCAGCCTGTGTATCAGAATTTTAGCTGAAGAAGGTCTTAAAACCATACACTTTGAAAAACTGTGTCCTTATATCAGACTTTTTCATTTTGATGGCCTTGAAGCTTTTGTTTCAGCAAAAAATGCAACCATGCTAACTCAGTCTGTTAGACCTCTGGATTCAGATAGTTACATTTTCAGGTAGACTGATAATTGCTTTTTGTCTTTGATGGGTGAAATCACCTGTGAAGGGGTTGGATTTTAATGAATTGCCCTCAAGATCTTCATTTATTTACTGCATTAAAATGATGCCATTAATTGAAATTATAATGACATTGTCATGAAAGTTTTTTGACAATCACATTTCCTGGAACATTTCAAATCATGGAGGACATGTTGAGTATATAAAACCCATTTACTTCCTCTCTCAAAGAGAGTGAGTTAATCTTTGGTGTTCTTAGAAGTCTTAGTGACCAGCATATCCCAGTGTTTTGTTTCTTGTCCCTCTCCTTAGGGATCTGTACTGCCCATGCTGTTCTTGTGAAGCATAACCAGCTTAAATAACTGAAGTGAATTTAGGCTCTCCTGACATGGAATTGAACCTGTAATTTCTAATCTTTCTTTTTTCCAGGAGCATTTTTACTGTCCTAGGAAGGCACAGCCCAGCATCTGAAAAATGCTGGTAATGGAGACTGCACTAGGAAAATTGGAGGGGGGAACTTGGGGTATCAGCAAGTTACCTACAGAAATCCAAATCTGAAGTGCACTATGCTCTTAATGATGCATGGATGGAATATCCAGTAGATGGATAAATATTGCTGTGGGCCTAGAAGCAGGCAGGCCAAGCTTGTTCATGCTTACATCAGAACTTGGAGCACTGGGAGGCTTCTTGCAGGTTCTGTGCAGGTCCAGACATGGTATAAACAAACTCGTGCACTTTGCCTGATAGTGCAGTCTTACAGCTTCCCCCTCAGTGCTGTGTAAAACAGCCTGTGAGGATGTTAGGTGTAGCCTGATATATTTGCATGTGCTGACCTATTGTGTTTTGTTGAGACCTTCACAACCTACAGTTCTACTGATCTTTTTTCCCCTTTGCTTAAAAGTTCTTTCTAGACTCCACACAATAGTATTTTTAGTTACTTTAATTTTATTTTTACTTTGTGTATAAATTTCTCAGCAGGCCTTTTTATTATAACTTGCTTCTTTTAAAGTTCAGTACAAAAATAACCTTGTGTGTGATCTAGAAGGGATTGCATGGGAAATAAAAAATAAAATAATCCTTCACTTTTGCCCACTGCTTTCCTGGAAACGTGCTGGGATTGAACCTCTATTTTGCAACAAGTTTACTGAACTAATTCACAGGAGCTACTTTCATTTATTTTGGTCATTGAAAACTATTTTTATCTGACAACATTTGACTTTCCTGATATATTTCTAAGCCATCCAGTTTCTGTGAGTTGACCTTGTCAATCTGTACATGAAATCAAGTTCAATTCTTTTGCTGTCTTCCTACAAATTTTAACAGCTGGTCTGTCAGTCATGTTATGTAAATTACTTCATTTTTTTTTTTTCCCAATACTTTCTGAAAACTCTTTGGGAGAAGATACCTTCCTGTTGAATAAATATAACAGCTCAGCACAGCTTTTACATTTATGCATTACTATCCAAAACTAAATCAATCTTTTGACAAGAGCTGTTTCAAGAACCCCATGGGCTTAGAGCCTTTTGTCTAAGTGGATGCTGAGCACTTCTGCTGCCATAGATGTTTAGTCCAACTAACTAGTTCAGCCAGCAGAGCATCTGTATAAAGAGATGAGTCCCCTTGAACAAGCAGTACATGCTTCTTGCCCTGAATCATTATATGTCAGACCTGTTTTCTTACAGGTACATTAAAGAGCCAAAGCAAAGCCTTTCAGTGTAATAGATTGGACACTCACACCCTCCTGTCAGCCTGTCATTGGTGGTGACACCAGCATGTATCTTATATTTCAGCATATAGTTCCTTCAGGAATGCAGTTTGGCTTCCTCCTTTACATGATTTGGTGTATTTCTAGAATCAGTGCCTTTACTTACTCACTGATCCTGTCAGGTACAGAGCAGAACCTCAGAACAAGTGGGGCTTTAGCACATTTAAGGGAGATTGCCTCTATTTAAATTCCTTGGGCAACGATGGACCTATCTATCATTCATCTACATATGCATCTTTGCTCATTTCCTAGAACTTTCAGCTTCTTTTCTTTATTCTTTTGCTTTTTTTCACTGATAAAATGTATCACTTAAAGCTTCAACAATGTAAGCATGTAGTAATCTACTGTTAATATTACAGAATGGAGTACTCTTTTTAGCTACTTACAGCATTGTATTACTAATCTTTGAAACACTGTCCCTCAAACTGTTTAAATTCCATCCTTTTTCTTTTTAAACCATCTTTGCAAATGGACACAACTTTTTTAGATATTTATAAGACCGAGGCTATGGTACTCTGCTGCAATCTCACCCTCCCTAAGTGTTCAGTGTATAGATTAGAAATGGAAAATAGGGTTAGGTGGGGCTTGGCAAGGTCATTTAACCCATTTCACTTCTCAAGGGTAGATTAGTATTTGTGAGTAAATGTTGTTTACCTCTTCCTAAAAAACTCCCTTCAGAGACATTTTACAGTATTTCCAGGCATCTATTCCAGCACTTAATTCCATTACCAGTAGAATGTTATTACTGAATAGAAGTACCTCTTGCTGCAATTTAAAAGTATTACTTCTGATCCACCCACAATGGAAATCCATTTCCTCTTGATGGCTCTTACATTCTCAAAGATGATTATTATGCTTCTTTCTGTCTTCTCTATATGACTCCGTATGCTTCAGCTCTTCCCTGGTGACTATACTTTATTTAGTCTTCTTTACAATGTCCAGTGTTTTCCTCTATATTCCCTCTAGTTGCCCCACTGTGTTACTGAATGAAGGGGCCCCAGACTGGGCAGTATGTTCCATCCACAGCCTGATCAGTGCCAGAGTAGAAATGTTATTTCATGTGTCTTAACAGTCATTGCTGTTGCTTTGTACGTACTGGTTTGAGGTTTAGCTTTTGGCTTGCAGTGGGGTAGAGTTGATGGTGAGGCTCCTCACCTCTTTATCAGTGGTGCTCCCCAGTCAGTTGTGATGCATTTGTGCACTTGGCTATTCCAAAGCACAAATATTTGCAGCCATTGTCACCAAACTTCTGGGTCTGAAATCCATTTCTACCTGGGTTGTATCAGTGATTTTCCAATATTATTTTTTATTCTAGTGGTGCCCTTCAGTGTTCTTGCAGATTATCCCCAAATCAGCAGATTTAATGAGATGCAACACCTCTCTTTAACCCATTGCCAATATTGGAGAGTATTGGACTTGAGACAAATCCTCATTCAATGTATTCCAGTCTGAAAATGGTAATCATGCTGTGATGATCCAAGAGGCTGTTCTATGCACCTAATAGCAACTTTTCCTGGCCTTTGCATTTTCCTTATAAAGATGTCATCACACCATGTCAAAAATCTTACTGAAAACAAAATGCAGGATGTCTTCAGTTCTTTCTATATGCAAGACCTGTTACCACATTGCAAAATTAACATCTTCTATTTTCAACAAATTCACACTGGCTGTTATTTGTCTCCTTGCTACCTCGCAAATACCTTCCTGTAAACTTTCTTTAATTATTTCTTCCAATATTTTCCAGTCATTTGAAGCTGTTTTATCTATAATTTTTTTAAACTTCCAAACAAAGTCTCTTCTCTGGTTTTACTGATTTTGCTTGCCATCTGCAGGTTTTCAAAGTCTATAAAATTTTTGAGATTTGTTAGTTGAAGTGTTTCAGCCAAGTTCCATTGCACCCAGCTTCTATAAAAACAGCCAAGTTACTTAAGTGCTGTCTAACAGTTTCATTGTAACCTAACCAACCTTCTCACCGTTTTTTTCATGTATGCAAATCCTGCTTATGAAAATACCTGGACCCTGCCTGAGTGAGTCAGAAACATCATTCAATACTCAATTTTATTTCTTTTAAATCCCTTTTCTTTTTTCCCCTAAAGGCAAAATTGAAGTTTCCTGTGACAACCTACAGCATACTACAGTACCTTTAACACAGCCTGCCATATACATAGAAAACAAAGATCCAATCCCTGAAGAGCAGGTAAAAAAAACCAAAGGATCATTTAAAATAATAATTGAGGATTATTTGCTGTATCCATTCTTTTTTTCAGTTGCTTGTGCAGTGACCTTGTTGTCTTGCTGAGACAGACAAGTAAGTGGCCAGTACCACTTCAAAATTGGACTTGTCAAAAAAATGTGTACACTCCTTTTGCTGTTCCATGGGGAGGTATTCCCCATCCTGGAAAAAAGAGCACTAGTATTCATTTCTCATATATATCATTAGAAATGAGTGACCAAAGGAGAGCAGCAACACAAGTCAAAGTAATAAAAAGTGAGAATTGCTAAAAGGCAGTATATGAAATAGTCCTACTTTTGCTGGATAAACAGACACAGCTGAAAAAGTGACAACTCAAGCACAAATCATCCTGCCTTCCGTTTGCTTAGTCTCTGCATTTTTGGATATCTTTTTACTGTAACACTGAACAATTTTGTGTTGTTAGAGGATCTCCTGGGTGATGGTTGGGCTGTCTTAAAGAGAGGTGGTCCTCCTCCATCCCAGAACTGAGTGGCAGATCCATTCTGAAAGCACAGTGAACATCCATGTTCTGCTCTGTCCCTCCCTTGCTTCTCCCCCATATGTATTCTCTCTAGCTGTTTTTCCATATCAAAAAGCTGGAACTAATTACTTTATTGAAAATTTGTTATAATATAAATGCTGCTCTGTTTTTTTATGCTCGTAATCCAGTATATTTAAAATTGGAAGAGAAGTTTGCTATTCTCTATATCCTCTTAATAAGGATTTATGTAAGTTAAATTAGCAAGATGCATGACTACCAAGAACTGGTTACAGTGTAAATTTAAAAAAAAATAAACCCACATCAGCATTGCTTATTTCCACCTGTAATTACAGAGAAATGGTCTCCCATTTTCAAGGTATATCACTTGCTCCTATTTGTGTATGAAGGTAAATCTTGTTAATGAGTGGGCTTGCTAGAAAATCATATAGATACCACCAAGAGCAGTGTCAGGTCCACTGGCTCTGCTCAAACAGGGCTCCATCCTGTTACTGTGGTTGGTTTGTGTTGACACCACTTGATCATGAATCAGATCATAGGATTGAGTGCACCTGACAGTGAAGATCAAGAGTTTCTTCCTTTCTTTCTTTAGGAACTGGAAGCATATGTTGATTATTCAGATACAGATAATGAATACAAAAGGGAAGACTTTTACTGCTTCTCCCAAGAAGAAAGAGAGAGGCAAGAGCGAGAGAGACAGGAATCTAAGAGGGTGTTACAAGAATTGAAATCTGTACTGGGATTCAAAGCTTCAGAAATTGAAAGACAGAAGTGGAAACAGCTACTATTCAGTGAACATGGTAAGCATTTCTTTTGAAAATTAATACCTTCCTTAAAAAACATGGGTGTCTGCCATGGATTTCTGACTATGCTGGAATTCAGACCTTGCTTAGCTGTAGTAGTGTCTTTGACAGAGCTGTGTGGTCTTAGTTGCCATTCCATCTTTTTATATTTTAGCAGTCATTTTACTACATATTGAAATGAACTCATAGAAGTGAGAATTTGGCTTTAAACAAAACACTGAGCTAAAATATTAAACACACAAAAATATTAAGACATAAAGAAAGCTATCAGGATATAAACCATGCAGATTGAACTGACTTTCTTTCATGGCTTTCCAGTAAATATGAATTTTTATCAGGGTGCATAAATAAATTGCTTTTCAGAATTTAAAGAAACTAGCAGAAAAATTATCCCGGATGTACAAAAGTATATAGCTTAAACTGAAGAGCTGAACTTTGAAATATTAGAGAAATAAAATAATAAAACTGCCTTTTGTTTCCATGAGAGAGTGAATACAGAATATGTTCACAAAAAACCCCAAACAAACAAACAAACAAAAAACCCAAAAAAACCAACATGAACAACCTAAGAAGAAGAGTTCTTTCAAATTAGCCTTTTCTAATTCTGAGGACTGCTGGGTGTCTGCATTCACTTGCACTTGAAAGCAGGATATGAAAATTTCTCTTGCCTCAACAAGACAGCTTGTCTGTTAAAACTTGATTCCTCTCACTGCTTGAGCTATTTGATTTACTCTCTTTAAAATTGGCAGTTTGTCTTTTCCTTTCTCTTATTTTCATTTCTTCCTCTTAAAGAAAGGTTAGGAAAAGCTTTCTAAAAAGTACCATGTTCTATGTTATGCAAAACAGCCCTCAAGTCTGGCACCATATCCAAGGATTCTGCCTCTGACAGTGTCTACCAGAAACTTGACCAAGGATTGCAAATTTCCAGTAATTTACTAGGAACACAAAGTAACAGGCCATACCTATTTATGAGACTGTCTCTTTTGACATCAAACCATCAAAAATATCTGTTCTTAGCAATTTTCTTCTTTACATCCATTAAGCTACAGCTGTGGTAAAAGAGATTACTTGACTATTGGTACTGATTTCTCTTCTAGTTGCGTTAAAAACCCGAGACATCAAATTGCACCAGTTTGCTCAGGAATAGGACTTCTGTATTTCTGTTGGATAAGACACCACACAACTCTTCACATAAATTTCTTCAAGTGTTCCTTTCCTAACTGTTGGAGGACAAAGTGATCCTACCTCCAGTTTAAGTCTTCACAGACCTAGTGAAACTCTTGCAGAAAGAGTTTTTGTCAGGAGAACTTGCCTAGGACATTTCCTTACCTGAGCAGGTAATACTTGTCCTGAGCAGGTAATACCTACCAGCATATCCTCAGGCCATCTGTGGCCATAGCTGGAAAGAGTCAACTCACTCCTGTAGTTTGCAATAACTGTTCACCAGAAAGCCTTTGTGGCTCGTGTTGGTTCCTTTTCCTTTCCTATTTCATTGGTTTAGGATTAGAGATAAAAGGGTGAGGAGGGAAGAAAGTATGATTTTCTCCAGCTACATAGGACTAATCATTGATTATCTCCATCCTGTACAAACATGGAAAACATGAGGGCAGTTCAAGAAAGTAATTAATATTGTCTTCTGTTGGCTCAGATTGTGTGTGTCTAATCTGACAGACTGACATGTACACCTGCTATAACATCTACTGATTTTTAGGGAAATCCTTCAATATTTCTTCAAAAGAAACACAAGTCAGTAAATATGGTATCATGGACCCTGGCATATTATGTATATTATCCATACACAAGTCAGTCCTTAAAAAGACATTTATGTGATCTGCACTTTCCACATTTCTGACTTGCCTTATCTTGAAGATTGAAACCCAGAAAGGTTCATATTCTTGTCTTCATTGACCCAAGCCAATGGATGGCCATGATACCACTTTTCCATAGTCCTCTTGAATCTTGCTTTTACAGGATGATCAAATTCCAGAAATCCTGTGTTTTCCTAACTTGTGATTATTGTGGAAAAAGATCCTGAAATATTCAAAGGCTTTAATCTAGTTAATAAGTTAGTGAAGGCACCCAACTAGCCATTCTGACTTATCCTAACAAGGACATGAGGGTTTTTGGTTCGTTTAAGGAGGGGCTGGTGAGGGTTTCCACGTAAGAGGTCAGCTCCAAACAAGCTGATATGTCTTAAGAGCACAACATGAAGTCAATTGGAGATGATAGGTTGGATTCCAGAAGAAAAAAATATCATCTTAGCTGAGCACTAGACTAAAGCAAGTTTTCCAAGGCCCAGTACCATGGTAATACTTCTTACAGTCTGGGTAATAGGTAGTTTATGGGAGTGTAGGTAAGCTTATGTTTCTGATCCTTTGGCCTCTTGTTGAGCCTCTACATGAAAGTGCTCTTGAAAAGGTCTGCTAAGTTTTTAGTAGCTTCATTTCCATTTGTCAGACACTGTCAAACAACTTTCTTCTGCTGCAAAATCACTTCTAGCCCTTCTCTAACCTATCCCCTGCAAAACAGTTAATTCTGTTGGTGGTTGTGTTGTATCCAGCTGTTTCCCCTCCTCCCACCTTGTCGATACAACAGTTGTTATATAGCTATTTATCGGATTTGGAAAGCCATGCTCTCAAAACAGATGAATTTCACCCTGCTTATTAATTTGTCAGCTCCACAAATTGGCCAGCTACCAATCTCAAGTATCTTTTTTTTTTTGAGAAATTTTGCCTTTCCAAGTATTCTTTGGAGGAAGTAGGTAAGAAGTTTGCTCCCAAATGATAAGATTACTGTGCATATTCCTGTCTCTTCAAGCAAATGGGCAGAAATAAGTAGCAACATATTTTTTACAAGACAGGGAAAGAACTACTCCGTAAACAACTGAGACGAGTCTGGTGCAATGCTCCTTTGATATATCAAGTTCTAAAGCAATACACATTCAATGCCACAGTCTCTCAGTGTGCTAATGACAATAGTTATCAATGTGACAACCATAATGATGTGCCTGCCTTCAGCTAGCTAAAGTAATATTAGTGAAATAGGATGCGGTTGAAAAATCCTAATACCATAAATTTTGCTTCCCATGAAAAGTTTGTGTATTTCCCAGAGTTATTTTCATCTCTGCTTGCAGGGGTAAAGTCAGAATGGAATTAGAAAGGGAAATGCAACTTGGGAATCTGCTGCTGCCGCTCTCATTTATGCTCGTGCTGCTACTATAATGGAGCTGCTGCAGTTTAGGGAATCTGTTACTTGGAAATGGACATTATATCGTTTTGTTAACATGAAAGCCGCCTGTTCTTCAAGGAGCGATTGTACCGAGTTACACTAACCCTTAACTCTGGGAGGAGAGACTTCCTGGCAAGCATCCCGTTGCTGGCAATGGGACTCACTGCTGCTACTAACTTCAAGAGAGGCTAAATTAAACCACACTTTATTTGTGAGGACACCTGACCTGACTGTGTGGTTATGTGTTGTATTTGTATGTTGTGCTGTATGAGATCAGATACTGCCTATAAGAACTTTTTCATGTACCAGCTGTCTTTAGTGGATTAGGTAAACTGTTGTTCACAAGAAGACAGTTAAATCTGTATGCACTACAGTAGTTTTACTTGGGTTTTGCTTTAACACTGAATACATCCTCTGTGTTTGATGCTGGCTTTAAACACCATCAATTTTGTGCTGTCTCTTCACATCACAGATTTTAAGGAATAGTTACAAGTAGCTGTCACATTTCACTTCAGCTCTGTGATTAGAAAATACTTTTAAGTTTTGGTGTGGGTTGTGTTTCTGTTGTTTTGGGATTTTTTAAAGTAATTTTAACCCTTATAATCTTGCATCTTTTCAGGCAAATAAATTATTTGTATATAGCAGCTCACTTTTAGTTATCATTTAATTTCTTCCCCCTTTTTAAGCTGCAGTGAAACCCTTGTCTCCTGTAGAACCATTGAAGCTACTAAATAATGTGGAATCACATATGAATTCAGATACAGAAAAGCAGGACTGCAGCCAAAGCTGTGATAAATCTGAAGAAAAAGACTCTAATCCAGAAGTGAATGCTGCTGATAAAAGCAGGACAGAATATTTGTATGCAGATCCTGAGGTGGAGAAAAACAAAGACAGTATTACAGATAAAGATGTTTCTACAGGGGCTGAAGGAAGAATGTATTATCAGTGTGAAGGGGATGCTGAAGAGCTCAAGCCAAGTAGTGTGGATGGAGTAGAGGCTTCACAGCCTCCCTCTAAGGATGAATTACATTCAAAAATCAAGCATAGGCTGGCCCAGCTCCACATATCAACAGATTTTAACTTCACATCTGGTCTGGCTGCACAAGTTGCTGCCAGGTCTTTCACTTTTACTACAATGCAGGAAGAGACTTTTGGAGATGATGGGGAAGAGGAGGAGGAGGAAGAAGAAAAGACACAAGAGAATGAAGACCTTGTGGACAACTGTGAAAATGAAGAGAGAGGCTCTGAAAGTGAAGGAAAAGTATAAGTCTGAGCTGAACTTTATTAAACTAACAGCAGGCAGTTTGATGGAAAAAAACTGAGGTGGGGGGTTGAAGCTGAAAATACTGGATGGAAAAAAAAGGAGACCTCAATATAATACATCATGTTCCCTTAAGAATGATACACTAAATAGGACTTCTAAGTATATTGAAAATTTGCAGGTAAGAGAAGTTTGGGATGCACCCAAGAAATAGATGGCTGTCCCTTTTTAAGATCCTAGTGATGGGGGTTGGAATCTACCTTTGTGTTTTCTGTATTATTTATTTATCTAATGATACGTTGTAGTTTTTCATTTCTAAAAAGAAGGAAAAGCAATGTTTTGATTTACAACAGACTCCATTTTTTTCCTCTCTGATTCTTTTGTCATGGTATCAATGTTTGTTCCAACAAAAACAGCCAGGACATTTCTTTTGGAAGAACCTGAACTGTTCCCTGTGATTGTCCCCCACCACTTTTGTTTCACTGCTTGTGTCTGCAGTGTGTTGGCTAAGCCATGATAGGCATTTGTGATTCTTCAACTAGTGATGTGGCACCCAGCTAAAATGTAGAATTTTAAATAAAAACTTGAAAGAGCTAGTATTTCATGTGTCCTGGGGTATGGGGCTGAAATAGTATAAAGTTAGTCCTGCTTCATATTAAGGTTTATTTAGAATTTTATGAAGGGTTAATAAATGATGTCTGTAAGTTGTAATTCATGTTAGAGAAATGTGTTGTAAGTAAATTTTAGGGAAGGTTATAAGCACATCAGTAGAAGGTATTACAGATAGCTAGAAGCTATCTATTGGATTGACAGAGATGAGAAGTAAACACCTATTTATTAAGCCAGCTATTAATTGTTTGTTAACCTTTTGTAAACTGAACCTTAATGTAATTGTTTGATTTGATATAATGATCGATTGTACATTTTTGCTTATGTCCTGAAGTAATTTTCTTAAAGGAAATTATCTGTGAGCTTAACAACATGCAGTGTTTTGTTTGAACACCATACTTGCTTTTCACTAATGTTCTTTCACTTTTCCTTAGATCACAACTTTAATCTGTGGGATTAAGAATCCATGAGAGAACTACAGCTGTGTATTTTGTTTATTGTAACTTCATTAACTGATGATGAAGTCTGGATGTTTGGTATGAGGTTATGCAGGTTGCTTTTTTCTCTGTGGTGGTGTTACAAGGAGCAGGAAACTCATTCTAACCTCACAGAGGAGCTGGTTAATGGTTTCATTGCCCTCTCTTCCTTTTGTTGTCTGACACATAACAAAGCAAAGCTCCCATGTCTCTAATAGTGAGAGCACCACTTCTTTGTGTGGAATACTCTACTTGGACCCAGCTACACTTCCAGGACAAAACACTGCATCAGTTACTTAGAGTATTTATTGTGTTTTGCAGATTCTATAGAGTAAAGGGCTTTTTAGATGCTGGTGGTGCAGAGCAATATCTTTCCTAGGATGGAAAGCAGGGAAGGTAACACTGGTCAGCAGGTTAGGGTGGAACTCTTGATGGTATGTCAGAACATGAGTGTTTTCTTTCAACCCCCTGGCCTCTATTAGTGATTTTGCATGAACACTGTGAAATATGTGGTCTTTTTCACAGATGGTAAAGAGGGAAATACCAATTCATAGAGAAGGGAGTATGACTTACAGTGTTCTTTCACTGTATAGTGCCTGTCTTCTCCCTCACACACAGGTTCTGGGAAGAGAATGTGTTGCCGTTTTTCATTGACCAGTAACACTGTGTTCTGTGTCCTTTATTTTGTGTAAGTGACTGGAAGCTGAGTGGTTGATGTCTTAAGGAGGTTGTAGGAAAAAAAAATCAGATGCTTTTCATAGTGTATTCAGAAGATAAGCCTCCTCTTAGTGGTAGAGTGTATTCTTCTATAACTAATGATTAGGCTAAGATGATGAAACACTTTTATTTTCTCTGTGGTAAGCAATTTTTTTTTCACAAGTCTAGAACAGCTGCTTTGGATAGATTGTGTTTGAAGCATTGTCCATGCTTCTGAAGAAGTCTTCCTCATTCTTAACTTGAGATCCTCACAAAGTGCCCAGATATTTTTTGTTCCTAGCTAATTGTTGTGACAGCCTAAATGTATCAATATTTTTCCATCAACTCATCCACCATCATCTCATGATCTGATGTTGTGTATCCCAGAAAGGGTACTCCTGACCTTTTTCTATGGGATCCAAATCATAGTTTATGGTGTGTAAGACTATGATACCAACCTGGAAATATAATCAGATTTCGGATATTAATTATCACTGTGTTCACAGTTTCAGATGAAGTCAGAAGTAGCCTGAGTTGCATTGGTACTGGAATTGGTGACCGATCTCACATTTATAAAAACTGCTATCTCTTTATTCCTTTGCTGCAGTCCTTAGTAAAAATACTGGAGAATCTACTTTGGTGGCTTACTTGGGGCCCAGTTTTATTATATGCTGCTCTTGGTAATGAAACTGGCCTAAAAAGCCCTGTCCATCATGAGTTGTTCATTTTCCTCCAGCAGATGTGTCAACATGGGGTTTTGTGGCCATGTTATAAACCAGTTCATGAGTCCACCAGGTAAAAAATTCACCCTTTTTAGGCTTTTTTGCTTGTCACCATTCTCATTGCAGCAGTGCAGTAACAGCAGTTACCTCAAAACAGCTGTGTCAGCACGTACTGTGTTACTGGCCTGAGGCTCAGGATAGCCCACATTTACTTTATTGGCAAAGATGGTGTAGTGTGAAATTACAGCCTTGACATTAGACACAGCTGTGATCAAACGATGACTTTTTGGAGGAAGTCCTGATCCTACTTTGAACAAATAGATTTTCTACAAGCAATTTAACTGATTTCCATGGTCTAACTTAATGCAGTCATAGAAGTGGCCCATATGAACACCTGGACTCACTTGTTTTCTCTGCCTCTCATCACCTCTGTATAAAACAGCCATCAGGTCATTTATTTTGATCTATTTAATATTCTCCTTGAAGAAAAATATTGCTAACAGTGTACAGCACACAAAGCCTGACTTCTCTCGATTTGATAACCAGGTTCCATCTGTGTATGTCATACACTCTGTTATGATCCACATTTCCTCATAATTATGTCATTTGAAATGACTGTATATACATGTTGTAGGTTCCTTCATGAACCTGAAAGATTTCTTGGCATAATTTATTGCTGCCTTTAAAATAATGTTTATGAACACACTGAAGTGTGCATTAGCTCTAATGAGTTGTCTTAATATATTGAGCATGTCAAGGTCTGAGTGCAATTCTGTGTTCTTTGGCTCGTTACCCAAGATAGGGATTTTTGTGAAAACAGAACATTTGCTTCTTAGAGCTTTGCAACTTTTTGAAACATTTAGCAGGAAGTCCACAGTAAATTATGGGTTATGACAAAGAATATCAGCAGCCAAAATCCTTTGTGAAGAGCAGAGCTAACAATAAATGCATTTTCCCTATCCCATTTCTAATTAGTAGTCCTGTGAAGTAAAGAAACAAGTTATATAGGGTTAAATAATTTCTTCTCCTTCTACCTGGAAAGCACTCCAAAGACAATATTTGCTTCTTGGATTGGATTACAATTTAACACTTCATCTTTTTATATCACTTCACTTTACAGCTAAAAATCTAGGTAAAGGCTTAAATCTAGGCAAAGATCTGTGATAAGAAGGTAACTTGTCCCTTTTTTTAAGTGTATGTGTTCATGACAGAAATTAAATTGTTGTGTCATGGAAGCAAATGTAGAGAGTTACAGATCATCTTTCAAATGCAGAGCATCTTTCAAATGCAATTAAATGTACCTCTGTCAACTACAGGCAAGATTTGCAAATGTGAAGGCTTCTGCCATCAGTCAGAGAAATGGGACAGTTTTACTCCCAGCAGAGGATTGCTGGACATCACTGAATCATGTACTTAGATTTCTAAATGCAAGATGGTATCTGATAGAGTAGCCAGTTTTACTGAGATTTCAGACTTTGTCCCAAGCACACCTGTCTCCATGTGACTGTTTGTTACAATATTGGAAATTTTATGTTTTTTTCAGAAGTGCTAAATTTGCAACTTTCTCATTAATTTATATGGTGGACTGCATGGAGTTGTTTGCCCACACTAAATTCTGTAATCTTGTAGGTTATCCCTTTCTTCTTTTTTTCCTTTTTTTTTTTTTAAACAAAAAAAAAAAAGAGGACAAGTACACCAAACTGCCCTTGACCTTTAAACTATTTTGTGAAGGGTGGCTGTAGTTCTGCAAGTGGCTTGTTCCCAGAGCTAACTGCTTTTTAGAATTAACAGATTTCATACTATGTCATCTGAGCAGAGTGAGAGAATGGCACTTGGTCAGTGTAAAGGGCCAGGCTGCTCTGGGATCTTGTATGTGACAGGGACTAAACAGATGCTGAGGGAAACTATTGTGTAGGGATATTCTCCAGACTATTCCTCAGCTATTTGTGGCTCAGGGACTTCTTGACCCAGTGGTGGTGGATGTCACCTTAACAGGTTCTGATGGAATCCTTCTCCATAGATGTGCTCAGGCTCATGTTTGGTCAATTATTCCTAGATCCAGTGCCAGTAAATCATCATTACTGTCTTGTACACATGAGAAGATTTGTCAATAAACTTCTTTGATGTTCTGCTTTCCTCAGTCATTCTGCAGAGGTCCTGTTTTCTGCCTTTTCTTTGCTTTCCTTACAAATCTCTCCAGTTTTGGATGTATAATGACCAAAGTGTGGTGCAGTACTCCTAGCAGTGCAGACTACAGAGTAATAATCACCTCCCATGAAACACCAAACCTTTTAAATATATTTGAGTCCATATAGAAAGAAAAATCCTTTTAGATCTTTTAGCCCTAGCTATTAGGATGGCAAATGAAAATATTTGGTCTGATGGAGGAGAAATATTTATTCACTGTCAGCAGGATTTGGCTGGACAATGTTTTTCTTTGCTAACAAAACAAAAAGTTGTTAAAACAAAATTATCTCCCAACAGCTGCCACCTGGTCTAACACAAACTAAAGATGCCAAACAACACTTGCTCTGCAAAGTCAAATTGAAATTTAAACTTTTTTGGTCTCTGATGCAAAATATATTATCACACAAGAAACGTGGCAGTGGATATATGGATATCAGAGATCAAACCAAAGGCCTCTCAACCAAAGGCTAATATTTAAAATGCTTGGTGGTGTGCTTTATTCATTTTCTCATTATATTTAATTCCCTCCTGTATATGTGTTTATTTTGCCACCTGGAATTTTAAATGCTAAAAAATACATCCAAATTATTCAACTTGGAAATTTGCAGAAATCAGATAAGAGGTAATGGTAGTGTGGTAAGACACAGTCATAGCAAGGGATAAAATCTACCTCCCATGAACTTCCTTTGTAGATGGATAAAGCAATGTGGCTTGAGCTACAGCTGGATATGAAACTGTTCTTGATGTGCTGCCTTCCCTTTCACACTGCTGTGGCTCAGGTTATTGGCAGCATATCAGAACAGAACTTGGCTCAACAGGGTGAGTGCACTGTTAGCCCATGTTACACTGTCTGTATTGAACACAGGATTCTGAAAAAGCGACTGCAATTTAGTAGACAAGGAAAAGGTTTCTCTGTTACAAAGTGGCTTATTGTAAAAGGGTTGAATGGGACCAAAACTTGACTACTTTCATGTGATCAGCATATTTTGACCCTTGTACCTTCTCAGCTTTAAATCTTAAATGCCTCCTGGATAGTTTGCTTTAGAGGATGCAATTCTATGACAGCTTAAATCACTTCATGGTCATGAAATCCAGTCCCTCTTCTAGGCTGGCTTTTGTGAGCACTCAGTGATCTAGGATATGGATAGGACTGGAAGTGCATCAGTGCTTTAACTTGCAGCTGGCTTCCTCAGTCCTAATGAGGATGATGCCATTCATTTTTTCCTCACTCATTTTGATTCCTTTTGTTCTTGAGGCCTAGACTGCCCAAGACCATTTGTGTCTTATTCCCCAAAGTTTCTAGGGACTGTTTATGATACTGCCAGTAAAACTGAAATTATTGTGCATGTTTTTTTCTACTTACTCGTTTCATCCTTCTGGACCCTCTGACATCCATGGTCCTCTCCCTTTACCACCACTCTTAAGAGGTTCAGATTTTAAAATAACACACAAATTCTTTTTACGTGTATTTGTAACAGAAATAACTAGACCTAGAGTTGTGTACTGACTTTCTCACTTGAGAAC